ATATTGTCCAAGATTAACCTTCAGGGTGGATATAGCTCGCTAGCAGCCTCGCACCGAGGACCTATCCACGTCATCATTTACCCAGAATGCTTTGTGTGGAAATAAAATGGCTCCGCCCGTGTTACAATATATTTTTAAAAATGTACAAAACTAAACAGCCTTCAGTATTTTTACAGTCTTTATTTTACAGTTAAAATAAATGTTTATCAAATAAAGTCTAATGCTACAACTAATCATGGATCCCTTTAACAAGAATACTTCATTCTAGGACTTATTTCTGAATGGACTGAGGCAGCAAGGTTGGTTGAAGCCAGCCCACCTGTGCTGAGTCTTTAGTTCAAAAAGCGAGTTAACAGAGCCGTCATTTAACACATTAACACCTAAGATCTGCTCAAAGCTGTTTTTGGTCCCAAAATGCTTAGTTTCTGAAAACTCACATCTGCGCAAGAAAAAGGCAGATTAATCTGTGATTTATGAACGGCCAGAGAGAGCATAAAGACAGACTGGTCTGTGCAGCCATTTCACAGAACTGTTTTATGGACGAGTCTAAAGAGAGGCGGCAGAGAGAAGCCAAGTGTTGATGTAAAACAGAATCACCTAATATGGAGTTTTTCAAATTGTTTACAAGCCACAACATCACAGTCATACAGAGGATAGTTTCATTTCAGATTATGTGGTTAGAAATATCTTGTTTTAAGAAGAGAGTTAGAGCTGTAAACATTGGTCTTTATTAGCTGCCAGTGGAGCAAGAACCAGCTCCCTGCAACCCTAAACAGAAAGAAGCAGGTGTGTGTCACAGTTGGAAGGAGGTCTGAACTCATAAATGTAGAATGGCAGGAGGAGCTCATATAATAAAACTTAGTGTAAACGTAAGAAACAGGCTGATGAGGCAGCACAACTTACTAAACTATGGAGTCGACACAGGGAGGCCAACCCATTCTCACTCCCGAGTCGTCACATATTGACGCTTTTCCAAGGTTCCCTCTGCGTCAGATTTTGACGTGTCGGGTACTCCCCTTGCGTCAGTATTTGATGAGATGGGGCAGGATCTGTTGTCATAATTTCAGAAAGTGTAGAAAATGCGCAAAAACTACTGTCCCAAAGCCTAAAATTACCTTTTTTCACTTTAGACATCCTGTCCCTGACCCTAGTACCTAAAATTAACCATTTTTACAAAATGTAGGAAATTCACGTCAACTACATGTTCCAAAGTCTAAAATTACCTAATATTTGCTGTAGACAGCCTATCCCTGACCCCAGTCCCTAAACTGAACCATTAATCACAAATCTCATCAAACACAAAGGAGCAGTTGTGTGTCACAGTTGGAACGAGGTTTGAATTACGACGTAATCTATTATGTTTTGATTAATATAGATTAGTTACATGTCCGAATAATATAACAACACATAATCAACCGTTATGAGAACAGTAGGTGAGAATTCTGTCTGAATGCCTGTGATTCAGCCGTAGGTCAGTAGGGGGCGAACGCAGGCATTGAAGAAGGTGTTGAGGATTTTGTCTGAATGCCTGTGATTCAGCCGTAGGTCAGTAGGGGGCGAACGCAGGCATTGAAGACCCTGTATAAATGGATCAACTTCCTGGTTTGTCGGCAGTGTGTGGTTTCCTGTCAGCTCCGGTGACATTAAACCCCACTCCAGAATTCTGGTTTTGTATGGTTTTATTCCTTCTACAAATCATGTTATTTAACAGTGGTGGTTTTCGTATTGACGTATTTTCTTACAACGTGTTCCAAAGTCTAAAATTACCTAATATTTGCTGCAGACAGCCTATCCCTGACCCCAGTACCTAAACTGAACCATTAATCCTGATCCCTCATGTTAACCTCAGACCCCCGACCCAAAGACCCCCTGGTGGCGCAACTGGGAAAAGCCGTGGGCGGCAAGGACTGATGTGAGGGGGTCACCCGACGCATCAAAATAAGACGCAGAGGGAACTTTGGAAAAGAGTCAATATGTTGACGAGTCGGGAGTGAGAATGTTAGGGAGGCATGTGGAGAGAAAGCGGACTTGGCATGAGAATGCATAATGCTCAACTGATGAGCAGATAGAAAGAGAATGGTAGTAAGGACTGAAGCTGATGGGAAGAGTGGCTGCAGCTGTGAATAAAGCCGGGTACACACAGGAGGCGTTTTGAGCAGCCAAAGCAGCCAGTTTACATGCAAAGTCTATGGTGGACGCACATCTAGGAGCAACGCAGCTCATTTTGCCAGTGTAGCGCAGCGCGCAAGGTAGCGGTTGTAGCAGAGCATTTTCCATGTATGCAGCACGTCCAAAGCAGCTGCTGCTCAAGTTCAAATAATTGAATTTTTCTGCTCGATGCGCCGCAGCAACCAATCAGAGAGAATATTTTTTTTTCATGTGACGGTTTCCTGAACCCGAAACAGACGGACAGGAGCTCTTTAGCTGAAATCGACCATCTGCAGTTGGTGTTCTGGTTGGAGATATCAGCACCGATGTGTTTCAGCAGCTCGTTAAACTGACCGCGCAACGTTTGCTTGCTCTTTGGTAAATAAAACAGGGCCATTTTCTTTATTTTATCTTTATTTCACCCGTCATTAAAGACAGACCGGAAAAAAACCAAGACGCTCCTCCCTCTTCAGACGCGTGTCTAGTCTGCTGCGGCGTTCACACCGAACACGCTTCAGTGTGTCCAGCTTGAGGCATTGGGCACATTTTTGCTGCTCAAAACGCGTTCGGTGGGACCCTGCCTTAAAGAAGCCAGGGACAGGTGTGGCAGACTGAGTGAGGGAGCCGAAAGTGGCAGAGAAGTGTTCGATGGCACAAGGTAAACACGAAAAAAATTACATGAGAATCACAAAACTTAAACAAACCTAATCATTAGAGACAACAAATTGGATGGATGGATGGATGGATGGATGGATGGATGGATGGATGGATGGATGGATGGATGTTAGACATTAAAAGCTGAATAAATATTAGGACTAGAGTTCTGTCTTAGTCTAAGGCTGGATGAAGGGGATGATGGGAAATGATAGGAGGGTTTTGGAATGTATTGAAATGGGGGGTGGGGTTAATGGTAGTGGGTGGGGGACTGGGTTGTACCTGCATGCAGTCTGTGCTGCCCACTGGAAGAATATAGGTCAGTAAAGGCCTCACCGAGGAGCCTATCCATGGGGGACTCTCTGCCAGGGTCATAGTCACTGTCCCCAGCTTCACTGTCTCCACGGCCGCTGTCCTTCAGGCTGAACTTATCCATCTCATTCAGGGCATATCTGCACAGAGCCAGACAGGTTTGATGCATTATTCACAGTAGGAATACTAAAACCATGAAAAAATCATAAAACTGATGGATGAAGAGGAAGTCTGTGGTCAACGGTTCCTTGGTCTCTGTGTGCAACAAGTCTTCACTGATAACTAGTTAAAGTTAGAAACTGTCATGAAGCGTGCAGTTGAAAAGCTTCTGATTTTACATTAAGATTGTTCATGTTTCTACCTAGCATTAGCTAACACAGCATTAGATGAGTTTATTCACAAACGAACCTCCACAGATTTGGGATTATTATTTTTTAATGCAGAGATTCTTAACCCATGGAGCGCCACCTTGAGGGCCTCAAAAGAACAACAGTTTTTAACTTTGGGCCGCAGAGGGCCGCATTGATTTTGAATAAGGTGCAATACACTTTCTCACCACTAGTAGCAGTAGTGCACCACTCAGATGTTTAACAACTTTTTTAATATGTAGAAGAAGAACCTTAGAAACCTGCTGAGAATGGAAACTTATTTTAAATGAAAAGTAGAAGCAAAAATGAAAGTAACTCATCAAAAACACCAAAGTTTGTCACTAATATGAAGAGCAGCGTCTGTTTTTACCATGTAATATTTTAAAAGTTCAAAACATTATCAAATACAGTTACAGATACAACTATATTTTAATTTGCACTTGAAATTAAATTTTGTAGTTTATTTTCAAACATTTTGAATGTATTTTAAAGAAACGTTAAACTTGTCAAAAAGCTGTTGTTACTGTTATTGTTTGTCACTAATATGAAGAGCAGCTTCTGTTTCTACCATGCAAAAGTTTAAAAAGGCTTTATTTTCATTTGTACTTTATCAAATTATCAAATTCAAGTTTTAGAGGGTTTTTTGTATTTGAAACATTTAAACATTTGTAATTTATTTATTTTATGCCTACAATTTTATTTTGTGAATTGTCTAATTTTATTATTGTTAATGTTAAATCTATATACAGCGGGTAAAATAAGTATTGAACACATCACCATTTTTCTCAGTAAATATATTACTAGAGGTGCTAATGACATGAAATGTTCACCAGATGTTGGTAACAACCCAAGTGATCCATACAAAGAAATCAAACCATAAATGTCCAGAAATGAAGTTATTTGTAATAATGTGGAATGGCAGAGGGAAAAAGTATTGAACACATGAAGAAAGGGAGGTGTAAAAAGGCATGGAAAGCCAAGACACCAGCTGAACTCTCGGTAATTTGAAAGCAAGCCTGCCCCTTGTGAGTGCAAATTAATTATCAGCTGGTTCAGTCCCAAATGATGGCCAGGTA